TGTATAATAAGTAATAACTTATCAAAAATAAATAAAAATTAAAAATAATTTGGTTTTCCAGTGCTCAGTACAAATGCTCAGCATTATTCTGATTCCTCTTTTTATCTGTCCCATATTCTATTACTAATTCTTGCTGGTTTCCTTCAAATCACATTCAGAAGATGATTAAATTTTTTACTAACTCCCCCACTTTCACCCTTAGACGGTTGGAACAAAGCTGTATTGGGCTAAGGAAATGACTACAGATAGTAATAATTATAACAATGTGTCTTGGTACTTAAAATATCAATATATATAATATTGTATAAAAATACCTCAAAAAAGGGGAAGGTAATAGAGCTATAGAAGAGTAATAACATTTCTTTTTGTCAGTATAGTTAAGCAACTATAAACTAGAAGATGATTTTGATAATATGTATATGATAAATCTTAGAGAAAGCACTAAAAATATGTAGTTAAAAATTACTAAAGGGGCCTCCCAGTGGCGCAGAGGTTGAGCACTGGGCTGCGAAGCTGCCTGCAGCCTCTGCAGCGCTGGTTCGATCCCTGGCCCCTGGTGAGGGTCCCACATGGCGCGCAGACTTCTCCTGCCGCCCGCTGCTCCCCTCAGCAGTGTACTTAGTCACTCTGCCTGTTCCGCTCTCCACTCTGACTCTGGTGAATTCTCTCACCCGCCCATGCTTCCGACTGTACCCAGTGCTTGTATAAATAAATAAATAAATCTTTAAAAAAAAAATTACTGAAGATCTTAAAATGCTACCTTAGAAAAATATAAGCAAAAGAAAGCTGTAAAGGAGGAATAAAGACACAAGATTACGTGAGACATAAGTACAAAAAACAAAGTGACAGTTGGTAAATCTATTAATAATAATATATATAGTTATATCATGCAATCAAAAATCAGATTATTTGACTGGATTGAAAAACATAACCCAACTATATGATGTCCACAGAAGACACACTTCAAATTCAAAAATACAAATAAGTTGAAAGTTAAAGAATGTGCAAATCTATAGTATGCATACATCAACTATAAGGAGACTTGAGTGCCTATACTGATATAAAACAACATAGAATTAAAACAAAAAAGTGATTATGAATAAAGGACATTTTATGGTGATAAAAAGGTCAATTCGGAATGAAAATATGACAATTATAAACATAGATGCTCCTCATAAGAGAGCACCAAAGTTAATAAAGCAAAAAACTGACCAAAATAAGGGAGAAATAAACAATTCGACAATAATTGGAGATTTCAATACCCTGCTTTCTATAGTGCATAGAACAATTAGACTGAAGATCAACAAGGAGATAGATTTGAACAATGATATAAACCAAGTAGACCTACTGAACACCTATAGAATGCACCATGCAACAATAGAATATGTGTTCTTCTCAAATGCATACAAAATATTCTCCAGAATAAATCACATGCTAGACCATGAAACAAACCTCAATAAATTTAAAAGGATAGAGACACTACACAATATATTACCTGACTAGTTGTCATTAAGTTAGAAATCAATATTCAGAAAAAAATTGGGAATCTCAAAATTTGTAGAAATTAAACAACATACTTCTAACTAGGCAGTGGGTCCAAGAAACAATAAAAAGGTTCTTCATCTCAAAATGAGATGAAGAAAGATGAAACACAACATACCAAAAGTAACAGAATTCAGGAAATGATAGCTGAAGTGTACAAGATTTCTTTTTGAGTTTATGAAAATATCTTTAAATTGACTGTGTTGATAGTTGAAGATATCTGTGACTGTCATAAAATACATTAACTTGTACACTTTAAATGGGTCATCTGTATGATATACAAATTATACCTCGGTAAAACTTGAAACATTAATGTACAAATCACATGGGGATGTTATTTTAATGCCGATTCTGATTCTGTAGGTATGGAAGAGGGGCTGAAATTCTGAATTTTTACCAGTAATATACTATATGATACAAGTGTTGCTACTCTGAGATCCATACTTTAAATAACAAGACTTATATTTTCAGTTTCTTGTTATCTTTATTTTTTCATTTGTTGCTACCTTCATGAGCAACTCATGGTAGTTTCCAGCCACTATCCATCTTGTTCCTCCAATATACCATGCCTGCTTCTACCACTATCTATAGTGCTCTTCTGCTTCCCACAGCCTATATGCATATAGATTTCTTAATCAGCTCCTTTGATTCTCTATGCAACCATTACCTCCAAGTTAGAGCTTCTCTGAACACCCTATCTAAACTGCAGCAGTATTTCACATACTTCTTCCTTTTTCCATTTTGTTTTTAGTCGTAGTACTAAGAACAGAGCACTTCAATATGCTATTAATTTACTTTTTATTTGGTGCATTAGTTTGCTAGGACTTCTACATCAAACTAATACAGATGGGGTGGCTTACGTAACCGATATTTATTTTCTCACAGTTTTGGAGTCTAGAAGTCCAAGATCAAGATACCAGCAAGTTTGGTTTCTCCTACGGAAATATCTGTGTTTTTGCATTGGTGTTTTCTCTATGCACACCATTCTCTGGGGCGGGGGGGTCTCTCTGTATATATAAATTTCCTTTTTCTGTTAGGAACACCAGACACATTGGATAGGGCCACTTTCATCACCTTGTTTTAATTTAATCCCCCCTTTAAGGGCCCTCTTTCCAAATGTAGTCCATCCTGAGGTATTGGATATGACGGCTTCAACATGGATTTGAAGAAACACAATTCAGCCCATGATGAATAGACTTTGTTTTATTGTCCATTGTCCCCTGCTACAATATAAATTTCACAAGACCATAGATTTTTTTTTAAAGAAATCTGTATGATTCACTGTTGTGTTATTGGCCCCTAGATTAGCACATAGCAGATGCCCAGTGCTTATTGAATAAATACATGAAAACAAAGGATAAATGTTGTAAAGATATATAATAACTATAGGATGGTGCAAACGACAGAGAAGGGAGAGACCAACCCCACTTATGTGAGTCAAATAAATTTGAAAGGCAAAGAGTTCATATATACCAGGGATCTCTCCGTGCTAGTTCTATCACTACTGTAACTCACTATACCCATATAACATTGTTCTACAGGAGATGGAGAGACTCTAAATGTATTGATTCTCTTAGGTTTCTCATAGGTTTTATTCTTGAAATACATAGGACCCCATTTCTAAAAATTTATAGTATAAGATCACTAAGTAGTTGTTTTAATCTCTAGATATCCTTTTTATGTCTGGAGATTTCTTTATATAAACTTGAATAGTGGATTATCATTTTTTCATCTCCAGAAATCTTGTATTATGTTGCAAGAAGAAAAGCAGTTTCATTTTTTTTGTCTTCATTTATCCTGTCCTTGTGATATTTTTCATGTTGCAGATATTTGAGGAGAAGATACTTAAAATTACATTTTTCATTTTGAGATGAGGTACTACTTGATTTTGACATTATATCAAACTGGTCCAATGAAATGACTACAGTTATTCCAAAATAATTCTGATAAATGGCATGAATAGGTTTCCATTTGTGCTACATATTACTTTTTAAAAATTTATTTTTTAAAAGATTTATTTATTTATGCATACAAGAGCTGGGGTACAGGGGTGAGAGGTTTCACCAGAGACAGAGTGGGGAACAGAACAGGCAGATTGACCGAAGTACACTGCTGAGGGAAGTAGTGGGTGAGTCAGGAGAGGTCTGCTGTGCCATGTGGGTTGCTCCCTGGCCTGCCGGGGGATCGAACTCATGCTGCAGAGGCTGCAGGAGGCTTCATAGGTTGCATCCTAACCCATTGCACCACCAGGGAGGCCCTGTCCCAAAAATATTTAATGATAAAATTAACTATAAATTATAGTCATTATAAATCCCTATTTATATCTTAATTGAGATCAAAATTGTCACAGTGTGTGGTTTTATCTCCAAAGAGAAGTTCCTAAAAATATTTTGAATTTTAATATATTATTTAGTATCATTTGGTATGTTATTTATAATTTGTACCCCATTTTGAGTATTATTAATAATGATTTAAATGGACATTATTCTTTTGATAATAACTTGCTACATTATTTTGTATGATTTATTGTTTGTCTTAGAACCAGAAAATGTTTCTGATGAGATTAATTTTCAGTTTCATTATGAAAATAGATGAGATGCAGCATGATATATTAGAAAGGGAGCCACACTATGAATCAAAAGACATGAGCTTAATTCTTTGTTCATCAACTTACAATACAATATTGAGCGAGTTGTTTATCTTCTCAGAACTCTTACTTTTGTCATTCATACAAAAGGGGTTAATATCATGGGAATAATTGTCTCTCAAATTATGGGGCCTTGTATATATTTTTTAACCTGAAAACCAACTATAAATGTAAATTTATGGAAAGTATGATGTGATTTAGAGCATTTTACTTTACTTTACAAAGGCAACTTTTATAGAGACACTCTTATCCCACTATGTAAGCCCACAAGTGTAGCATACATGTGATTTTTCCTGGTCAGATGGGCTGGTCATGTCAGCCATCCCCGCACTTCACAAATTGTGATGGTATTGTGCCATCTTCTCCATTTATTTACAAACTAATTCTATCTAAACAAAGACAGTGACCCTTGAATGGCAGATGGATGCCAAGTATCAAGAGCACTGGCGTGGTAGAAGGGATTAATAAAACTGTAATTAAACTGTACTACAACCTATGAGAGGAAGGGGCAGCTGAATAACCCCTGCCAGTTCTGTCCATGTCGCCCACAAGTGGCATGATTTTATCTTTTTTGATCGCTGAGTAGTATTTCATAGTGTATATGCACCACATCTTCTTAATCCACTTATCTATTCTGGGGTATTTAGGTTGTTTCCATATTTGGACATTGTAAATAATTTACACCACCTTATTTCAGAAAAAGTTTAGAAGGCTAAAATGAATTGTTTATGAGTGTTCTTTAAAAGACTTATGTTTGTTTAGTAATGTGTGAGATCTTTATTTTCTAATTTCATTGACATTTGACTTTTAGGTATTCAGAGAATGACTATCTTCAGATTATCACAAATATACAGAACTGTCCATGGAAGCGACAATCAGAAGAATATGAGAATTTTAGGTAAAAAACTTCTTCATAAATACTATGAGATAAAAATGTTTTGTACATTTGCTTTGTAGGGAAAATAAGCAGCATGTTGTTACAAAGGAAAATAGAAAGAACCAACTGACAATCAGGGTCATTTAATTCTAGGGCTGTCTCAGGAGGCACATGGCACTCCATCTCCAGATTTTACATAGAAATTTGTATGTGTAAGCACACTACTTGGAATTAATGTAAAAATCCCAAGTTCAAAACAGAGTTTTTGTTATACATTTTAATTGCATTTTAGAAAATATTGCTATTTCTTTGTACCATTTGTATTTGACATTTATTTATTTGTTTTATAAATAAAATGTAGTAATAATCAGGGCATTAGAAAAACAGATGCGGAAAAAATCACCCACAATCTTATTACTTTAGGATAAAAACTGTGTTCCTTTCTGCATATTCACTTCCAGTTTTTCTCAGTAGATTTTTAACACAAGCAACATTCAGGAGTGTGAGTTGTTTCAGGTAATCACCTGGGGAGAAGCCATCAACCTGTTAAGACCAGGTTATCAGTTGATGATTATAGAGCTGTCTTCTCTGCTAGGATAACTTGGAACCCAGCCAGACAGAAATCAATTGTGTTAAAACAACATGCTGTGGGGGTACATGAATACTTGCACCCCTGCTTAACTATTTCATTTCCAGGATAGTTTATGCTACACAGTCTGCCACAGACTGAATGTGTCCACTCAAAAATCTTAAACTGAAAACCTAATCCCTAAAGTAGAGGGTATCTGGAGGTGGGGTCTGACCTTACAATACAGACCCTAGGGACATCACACTGCTTCCACCATCTGAGAACACAGCAAAATGGCTCTTTAAAAATCAGGAGCCAAATCTGCTGGTACCTTAATCTTGGATTTCTCAGCCTCCAGAACTGTGAAAATAACTCTGTTGTTTATAAGCCACCCAGACTATGATTTTCTGATATAGCAGTCTGACCAGACTAAGACCCAGTCCTACTTAAGAGTAGTTTTGGGAGATCCTAGTGATAGAGACACCATATATAAAGGTGCATGGGAAATTGTAACCTAAGTGATCACAGGGTCAATAAGTGTAAAAGAATCTGATGTTGAGAAGCCCTTCTACACTTGCAGATAGGCAAAAAAGGATGGAGATATTGAGATATTGAGCTACTGAAAATCAATCCAAGATAATTAGCTAAAAAGACTAGATAGTGACACCAATAATCAAAGTAGGGATTAAAGAGTTCCTACTGTTATAGGACAGGGAGAGGGGCAGCCCAAAAACCCTGCAAACCTGCCTATTCTAAATGGGTTCTGCCATCCGCCGCATCAACACAAAACATAGGAGACTTTAATGGGAAGGAACTTTAATAAAACTAGGAGACAATACAGGTAAGGCAAAGAGTCTAGTTTCTAAATGAAGCACCCAAAGTTACCCATCCCCTCGTGGGTAAAAGTCCATCCAAATGGGATTGGCCCAGAGCAAGGCCCCAAAGCCTGCTACAAGTCTAAAGCATCTTCCAGTGGGGACCCACAGCAAAGGGTCACAAACAACCGGACAAGCCCGGAAGGAAAAGAGCAAAATCAACATCAAGATAAAAGCTGCCATGGTCACCTCCCCACGGGTCTCACCCACATCTGTGTCACCCAGTCCACGACCAAAAGACAAGCGCAGTTTCTTTACGTGTCTCTAGGCTCCATGCGCCTCCTCCAGGTCTCCTGGCTCCATCCTGCTTCCTTCCTTCCTTAGTCTCTTCTTCTGCTTCTCCTCTTCCTGCTCCGCTCCACCCTTCCTTGGGTGGGGCAGGGAAGCTGGAACCTCCCCCTTTCCTGGGGACCACCCTGTTACACTACCTGTGACAGTAAAGATGATTTAGACCATGCCTCATGGGCATAATACAAATAGAACAAACTATACTAAATACCTGTTTGAGGGCATTGGCAATATACCAAGGCAGGGAGAATTTATAGGACCAAGATCCAGGAGGAAAGCTAAGGTACAGGAGCCCTGCACTTGGAGCTGCTTTTTCTCACAGGGGACTTTCGGAATGTAAATGCAGAAGCATGGCTAAAAGGCAGGAAGCTAAGCGCTTCTAGCAATCAAATTGCTAGAAAAGACCAGTTCTCTAAAAAACTGAAGCCCAAATTTGAGTCATTCCCATCCTCAATTGGATTTAGACCTGCCCTTAGCCAAGATGCCCGCCGATAAAAACAAAAGTCAATCCTCTCTGGAATAAGGTAATCTCATTTTGAGTCTTAAATGATGTAATTTTCACATACAATGTCTAACTCAATTAAAAAAAAGAATTGTCTTTAAAGGTTTTTCCTTTCTCTTTCCCTCTTTAAAAAAAAAAAATCAGGAGTCTTTTTAAATCCAAAGCTGCATGAGAGTCACTGCTGCAAATTATGATGAATAGAAGCTGTATAGATGGATGGAAAGCAGACAGAATAGCCATTTTTCCCTAGTACCACACTGGTATAAAAAGTGCATCAGTAATCATGATGATCACCCGATGGCCTATCTGTCACTTCAGGGCCAATCCAGTAAACATCTGGGACAATAACACTTGCTGTTTGTTGTCGTTTGAGACAATATTCTTGGTGACATTTATTGATTTACTTGACCATTGTAATGTTCTTTTTATGACATATAAACTAAATTATATAAACCCTTAATAGACATACAATTGAATCATAATAAATGATCCATATTTGTAAGTTTTTCTTAATATAGCTGCTCACATGTGGGGAGTTTCTGGATTATTTATAATGCTGGTATTATAGAAAGTTCCCCTATTATTAAAGATGTCATGTAGCTAATAGTTTCCATTTTATTTATGTACAGCATTTTATACCAAATTGAGGAAAAGTGAAATGTGAGCTTTAAAAAGGTGGTAATATTCTTTGACCAGAATATAAAAGTTACATTAAATTTAGAATTACATGAGCAAGTAAATATATTCTAAATCCAGCTGCAATATGATAGTTGAAGCTTCCCAAAATTGACACCTAGGAATTAGTTAAAAATTATAAGACTTCTCTGGCCATGTGACCTTAACATAAGAGAACTTTTCAGTTATTTTGAACAAATATGCCGCTTGGTAGCAAAGGAGATAAATTTGATTTATCAATAAATGTTCATTTATGGTGTATTACATCAAAACACAGTAGACTCCTTTCAAAAAAACACTGAATATTTAGTATTTAGTGTCAAATGTGTGATTTTTGCAGCTACTACACTATATCAATGCATGATCATTGTAGGATATAATTTCTTGGAATATTTTGTGGGAAGAGCAAGGATTTGAGCTGTAACTCAGGATGATTAGAAAGGGAGGGAGAGACAAATACAGGCATGTCAGACCAGGAATAAACATGAGTATGTTTCAGCACCAATTTGATAGGAGCGGTGAACTTGTACAGAGGGTACTTGGGATAAAGGTGATAACTTTATCACAGTGTGGACCTGTAGATGTACCAGGCTTTGATCATCTCCAGGTTTTCTGTCAAAACCAGGATCCCAATAGAGATCTTCCTAGCAAGGGAATTACATGATGAATGTATTATTTTATGAACATATTCAGTCAGTCAAATGTTACAATGACCTCAAATGAATTGAGGTTTTTTTTATATAAAGATTTATTTATTCATGCACGCAAGAGCTGGGATACAGGCCAGAGATGTGGGGGTTGGGGGGTGGTGAGAGGATCCACCAGAGACAGAGAGGGGAACAGAACAGGCAGACTGACTGAAATACACTGCTGAGGGGAGCAACGGGTGAGACAGGAGAGGTCTGCTTCACCATGTGGGTAGCTCTCTGGCTGGGGATTGAACTCATACTGCAGAGGCTGCGGATTGCTTCATAGTGCAGTACTTAACCCCTTGTGCCACCAGGGAGGCCCGAATTGAGCTCTTAAGTAGAGTAGACTAAAGGAAATAGTGCATTTAGGATCTGATTGTAGGCAGGTGACTGTAGAATGATGAAGATTTAAAACCTCAAAGGTAACTATCAAAATATAAGGGAAGAGACACTCGACTGTGAGCTCCTGAGGGGCATGGCAGATTTTATTTATCTTTGTATCTCCAGGCCCAGTATGTGGCGACTAAATAGCTATAGCAGACATGACTGAGGATTGGTAGGAATTAGTTCCTTGTTGATTCCTAGTTTTCAATTGAAGAAGAAAAACAAAGCACCAAAAACAAATGAGAAATTTTGTGTCTGATTGATTGGAATCATAGTAATTCTACTGACAAATACAAACATTTCAAAGGGAAGTTGCTTTCAAGATGGTAAGTCTATATTGGACAGGCTGTGTCTGAGCTGACATTGGGACATCCAAATGCAGAAGATGTTTCCTTGGTCTAAGATAAATATCAGTGTTAAGATAAAATGGACCCTCCCCCCATTAAGGTAAGTACAGTTTAAATCTAGCTTCTGTAAAAATGATGGCCCTTTATGGGTGCCTTGATGGTGGGTGTGTCGTGGTGACATGCATCTGAAGAGGTGTGATCTTATACCTTTGAGTCATACAGTTTTGTAACCAGTGTTACCTCAATAAAATGAAAAATAGGAAGAAATATGGCCCTCTGAAATTCTGTCTTCTCAGAAATCTTCCCTCACTACTACTTAACAGTATTTGCTCTCTTTATATAATTCTTAACCTTTTATTCATCTAGCACCTAATTGTGAATCTGACACCTTTTAGCTTGAGCTTTGCATCCCTAATTTCTCCTCAGCCTTTATCTGGAAACGTCTGAGGTCCACTTCAGTGGTTCCATGAAGTTAGTGATATTACGTATAAAATTTGTACATGTTTCTGGGAAAAAGATCCCTAACTTTTCTCAGATTCTCAGGGAGTTTAGGATCCCAGAGAGGATGAAAATATTTCTAAGAACTCTTTGGACCTGAGGCTCTGTTTGCTTTGGGATTTGATTAACTTCCCTGAGAGCATAGTTATCATCTGAGAGTTTTCCCTCCCAGACATCCTAATTGGTGTTTCTGTG